CTGCAATTTACCAGATGATTGCCTCCATCCCATTTTACATGTAGGGTAACTTCAGTTGAAATAGTACTTACTTAACAACCCCACCCCATGTCCCAATGTGCAAGGCTGGGAGGAACAAGCTCCACAAGGGCGGCTTCTCTCTTTGGCAACATCTGCTTAGAACACATGGATATAGAAGGTGTTTGCGAAATTCTGAATGAACTTGAAGAAGGAAGGCACCCCCAAAGCATGGATGGAATCTGCAGAACATGTGGAGAAAGCCAGGTCTTCCAGTGCTGGTGGCATCTTGACCATTCAGTGTACTGTGGGTGCCAGGCAAGCTGGTTTGGGCCACATAATGGATACAAATTTACAGCTGCTTTGAATTCAAATTTCAAGTGAGGAAGCCAGGCATTCTAGTTTCCATTCTGTTGCTGTGATAAAGTGCTCTAACAAAAAGCAACTTAGGGTTTATTTCAGCTTACAGGTTACAGTTCATCACTGAAGGAAGGTAAAGCAGAAACTTGAAAGCAGGCCTGTTTGCTATTCCACACAGTATTACCTCCAACCTGGGAGTGAACTCACAGCTAAGGAGCACAGCAGATACCCTAGCACTTGCTCATGCACAGGTGCATGTTTACCTTTCTTTTTCTTTTACATTTTATTTGTGTGTGTGTGTGTGTGTGCATGGCATGTGTGTACAAGTGTCCACAGAAGCCCAAAGAGGGCACTGGATGCCCTGAAGCTGGAGTTAAGGTAGTCGTGAGATGCATGATGTGGGTGCTAGGAACTGGGAACTGAATGGTGGTCCCTCTACAAGAGTAGCAAACATTCTCAACCATTGAGTCATCTCTTCATCCCCTTAGCTAGTTTTCTTATGTAGCCCAGGACCAGCTGCCTAGAGAATGGTATCACCCACAGTAGGCTGAGTCCTGCTGCATCAATTAACAAGACAATCCTCCACAGACATGCCCACAGGCCAGTCCAATCTAAGTAATTCCTCAGTTGAGATTCTCTTCTCAGATGATTCTATACTGTGTCAAGTTAACAATTAAGGCTAACCAGAACACCAGTGTGAAGACTGGGGAGAGAGCAATATATAGTGATCCCACACACACCTTCCCAGCACTGCTACTGGACAAGGCAGCATGTGTACCCTGGTGCCACAAAGACCATCCTGTCCCCTGTCAGGGACTCTAACAGAGTTATGTTAGCTCTTTATCACTGATGCAATACCTGACGTAAGCAACTTGAAAAGAAAGAGTTGGCTTACAGTTTCAGAGGTATCCGTCCTCCACGGTGGAGTAGAGCAGTTTATATGATAGCAGGAAGCAGAAAATGATAAAGGGGGAGGCTATGACAAGATATAACCTCCAGGCACACTCCCGGTGATACACATCCTCCAACCAGTCCCTACCTGCCACCTTGTGATCTGATTGTCTCTAGAAACACCATCACAGACACCACATTTCATGCTTTACTAATCTCCTGGGTGCTTCTCAGTCTGATCAAGTTGCGAGACTATGAGACAATTTGAATCTGGTATAAGAACTTAGAGAATACAGAAGGCCCCCAAATAAAAGGATAGTGAGAACAAAAAACAAGTGTATGTGGCAGGTTATATAGATAATCCAGGGGGACTTACTCACTTTGGGGCTTCTAGAAAGGCGAATTTACCAGGCATGACAAACAAGAGCATTGTGGGTAGAAAAGAGCAGTGTGTATAAAGAGATGAAACAGACTGAGCAGAGAAGTTAAGGAGAGAGCAGCTGGGCATCAGGTAAGGACATTCCCCCTCCTCAAATGAGGAAAAGACTAACTTTATTCGAACAAAGACTGGTAAAAGTAAAGGGGATGAATACTGTGGACGGGACTCTTAATCTTCACCCATCATTCTCTTCACTCCACCATCTGAATATTTCCACTGTGCTAGGCCTTGAATATAGTCAAGTGATAGGAAGTCTGCCCTTCAGGAATGTACAAACTAAGCTTGTGGGGAGGTCCTCCTGGAGCTGTGTTTCATAATGAACAGACACTGGTTAGCAGGCAATGGCAGAGGCAGAAGGCATAATGGCATACAGTCAGTTACTGACTTGGCATGACAAAAGGCTAGAGGCAGTGAGACCAAGTACATTCTGTGTCCTGAAAGCAGTTCTGTGAAACACCTATGGGGGCTGGCAAGATGACTCAGTGGGGTAAAAGTGTTTGCTGTGCAGTCCTGACCATGTGAATTTAATCCCCAGAACCCAAAACAAGTTGCAGGGAGAGAACTGACTCTTGACTTCCATATGGAAAAAAGTGTGCATGCACACTAATAAGAATAATAAAAGGAAGTCGGTGTGGTGGCGCACGCCTTTAATCCCAGCACTTGGGAGGCAGAGGCAGCTGGGTCTTTGTGAGTTTGAGGCCAGCCTGATCTACATAGTGAGTTCCAGGTCAGATGGGGCTACAGGGAGACCCTGTCTCAAAAAGACAAAAAAACAATAATAAAAGGAAAGACATTTGTGGGAAGCCACAAGAAGTGAGACTAAATAATAAAGCAATTACTGTGCTCTTCTGAAGAACTTCTATTTCATACCACAATATAGCTATTGACACTTTTAAGCAAGAATGGCATGGAAAGTTTGATGGTAGTAGTGAGAATGGATTCGGGGACAAGGAGACAGTAATGAGAAGAATGAGTATGATCCCAGGTAAAGTAGTAATAACAGGGTATGAGCACTACTTATAGAGCTTAGAGTGGGTCTGAAAGATGAATGACTAGAGAGAAGAGACGAGGATTAATTTAAAACTCATCACCAACTCCCACATGGACACAGTAAGGGAAGAGAAAAATGGAGCCAGTTCATTTGGCAACAGCTCAAACACCTTCAAATTCAAGCTTAACATAATTCACTTGGCAGAACTGAAATGTCTTAAAAACAAAGTATATTTGTGGTTTCTCTACAATTTCCTCATTGGTGGATTAGGCACTGGAAACCAAGGTTCCCTTAAAAATGGAATTCAAACTATTTAAAATGAAAATCTGCTTAAATCCATGAAGGAGATAAAAAGGCACAGAAAATTATGGGGCTAAGATTTGGGGAGGAAAAAAAAGCCCAGAGAAGAATCTGGTACTTTAGGCCAATTTCTCCCACCAGGTACCTGTCAACTGTGGCTTAAGTTTTTGCTTTATTTTTGGGACATGGTTTCCCTCTAGCCCCAGCTGTCCTGGGACTCACTACATAGACCAGCCTACCCTCAATCTCACAGAGACCTGCTTCCCTCTGCTTCCTGAGTGGTGGGGTTAAAGGTGTATGCCACCATGCCTGGCTGCATCCTGTTTTATTCTGTAAAGCAGTAAAACCTCAAAATATCATTTAGAATAAATAGTTCAGGGGGTGGAGTGATGGCTCAGTGGTTAAGGGCACTTACTGCTTTTCCAGAGGACCTAGACTCAGTTCCTAGCACCCACATGGCAGATAACAAGCATGGGTTACTCCAGTTCCAGGGGATCCAATGCCTTCCTCTGGCCTCCACAGGCACTGCAGGCAAATGGTGTACTTACATACATGCAAAACATGCATACACATAAAATAAAAATAAAATCTTTTTTAAAAAGAATAAATAAAGCCAGGTGTAGTGGCACACAACTTTAATCCCAGCACTCAGGAGGCAGAGGGAGGCGGAGGTCTGTGAGTTCAAGGGCAGCTTGGTCTAGATAGTGAGTTCCAGGCCAGCTGGGGCTACAGGAAGACCCTGTCCTCATAAGACCAAATAATAAATAAATAAGTAAATAAATAAATAAACAAACAAGTAAATAAATAGTTCAACTTACCTAAACCTACTAAATGGATTTGAAACAGAAGCATAGAACATTAACATGTTGGCTGTGTAAATAACTCTTAAGTAGATTAACAAACCATCTCCAGAATTTAAAAATCAAATAAAAATTTCTGCCATAATACAAGCCTATTTGTGCTATACATCCTTCATCCATGCAACTGGGAGTTCTTAGACTACTGTAGGAGCTATTAAGAGATTTATTCCCAGGCTGGAGAGATTGCTCAGCAGTTAAGAGCACTGACTGCTCTTGCAAAGGACCCGAGTTCTATTCCCAGCACCCACATGGCAGCTATGAACCATCCTTAACATCAGTTCCAGGGGAATCCGATGCCCTCTTCTGACCTCCGTGGCACTGCACGACATGGGTGCACTCACATACATGCAGGCAATACACTCATACACATAAAATAAAAATAATAAATTTTTTTTAAAGAGATTTATTCCTATGGCTTTGGTTTGTTTGTTGAGACATGGTCCGTGTTCTTGCAGCCCAGGCCAAACTAGAACTCACTATGTAGACCAGGCTGGCCTCAAATTAAAAACATCCACCTGCCTTTGCCTTCTGAGTGCTGGGATTAAAGGCATGAACCACCACACCTGGCAAAATTATCTAATTTTCAAAACTATAAATAGCCCCCAACTTCATTCTCACTAACTCATAGTCTTTGTAAGACACATAGAAATCATTATTCTAATTTTAAAACTATGAACAAAATATAGAATCAAAGCCTCATTATCTTTAAATATTTTCTTTCTTTCCTCACCAGAGCAAGCTAGTTCTTCACGTCTAAAATACAACAGACTAGGACATTCAAAAAAGCTGATTTTTAAAAGTTTCTTGCTAATCTTTATTCATGAAAATAAGTAAATTTTCCATTAGCATAAAGTACATTTTCTAAGATGGGATACAATCATTTATACATTAAGACTTTGGCATTTAAGATGTTAACATTTTTATGCATTATTAACTTGAATAAACTTGCATCTTAAGCTTCATATTGGTCTTAATACTTCAGAGCTGCCTCACGTGAATTGGAAGATGAGAAGCACACCTATAACAATGATCTTTTAACAGTTGTATAAATCCTATTTTCACATACTTCGGTTGAAAACAACTGCATGATGTTATGTTTACAAGCAAACCACAAAACTTTATCTGGAATAGTTACTAAAAAGCAGCTTTTTTTGGAGACTGAAAAAAGTAGGGGAAATAAGAGATATAGCTACTCCTTAAGACCTCATTTTAATAGTTTAAAATCTTTCACAAAACTTCTAGAAAGAGGCAATAATAGTTTATCATTTGACAGAAATAAAAATAATTCCTAATAAGAATCTGGACAAATAACTCGACCTCAGGTTAGTACGCTTTCGAGTTATAGATGTGAATCTTCAAAGAATGTATATTTAGAATAAGTCAACCAAATGGAAGACAGTGCTAAGCTTTCACATTTTTATGCTGGTGAACTGAAGAGAGTAATGTACTTTTGATGCCTCTGCTAAAAATGCCTCTTAAAATCATAAAGTTAAAGTATCTTGATTTACATTAGAGACTACTAAGTTTCCAACTCCTAACCATCTACTTATAGTCATCTGTTATTAGTAATACTTAGACAAACTTCTCCTCTCAAATAGTAAAAACTAAGGCACTAAATTAGAATTTAAAATCAAAATACAGTTTTATCAATGAAACTTGGAGAGACCAAATAAAATGTACTTATAGGATAAATGCCACTGGAAGCAAAGGTTTTACATATATACATATTTTTTCCTTCAGACAAAAATCTATTTTTAAAACGACTAATTCAGTATTGGGCAAAGGCCAAAATGCTGCATTTTAAATTTAATTTTCGTTGTTAAGGAAACATTAAAAGTGCAGTAAATTAAAAACCAAGACAAAGTAAAACCTTGGTTTATATAGCTAATGGTTATAATAAAGCAATTATAAAAAGTTTACTAGAACAAAGCATAATATATTGTCAAAGAATGTTACAGCCCAAAGAAAGGAGCAGAAAACCCTGAGCTAAGCTGTATTCCCATCAACGTGTGTGTGCGTGTGTGTGTGTTCTGTGTGGGTAGTATATATACCTGTCTCCATCAATTATTTTAACCCTACTGTTCCCAAGCTTCACTGCTCTATCTAAAACTTAATCTATTAAAACAAACTAAGACCAACAACTTATGAACTAATGTGTGTAAAATGCAGTTTGTCTTACTAGTGCTAGGGGAACAAGTATAGCCCACATGCTGCAGAGACTGAGCACCCAAAACTAATCTCCTGGGGCTAGAGAAAATTCCTATTAAAAAGACTAGTCACTGAATATGAAATTTTTTTTTATATACCCTAAAGGCATACTGAAAAGACCAGTGATGAAAAACAGTGGTAACTATCAAATATACTTTGTTCTATGAAATAATAGCCTATATGTTGACAGAAAAATATTCTAGTTTCCAAAGTCAACTATGTTGCAACCTATCTGTTAGTTATAATTCCATCAGGATTACTAGGCCTTTAACTACGAGACTGGAAAAAATGATGCTTCTAGGATTTAGCCAAACCAAAATATGCTAAACCAAATCAATTCAAGAAAACTCACTAATATTTAAAGCAGTAGCCTCAACCAATGTGTGACTCAGTTTTCTTCTTGTTCACGCTTTAATTTTCTTTCTCAAATCCTGTAAATACTAGGTGGTATCACCAAAGCATTTCTTTCCTATTCTAAACCGTCTCAGTAAAATAAATACAAAATAATAGCACAAGAGGATTGTTTAAACACTGTTCTAACACATCTTGGGACCTGCTTCTTGGCTCTTCAAACGGGGAATGTTATGTACTGATTCTACAAATACTTGGTTTGCTTAAGATGCAAACTGATCCAGTCTGCAGACAAACTAATCACAAGGCAGTAGACTGTATCTCTAAAGCCTACCTCTTTTCTCAGAAACGTTAATAGTACTTCATGTGAATGCATAAAACACAAAAGAGGAGCTTCTAAATTGAACTATTATTCACAGTGCAAAATGATTTGGAATGGATAATCAAAATTTAAGATCAAACTCCTACAAGAAGCACCTCTGGGGAATTGCACGTATTGCACCAATACAAGTTGCTCTCATTCTTCTCAACAAATCTAAATCAGCTCTGTCCATGAAAAAAAATTTCAAGATTTGTGTTATAAGTGTAACACTCACACAATCACGTTATGACTCATGCCACAGAGGTTCTAAAAGCAAACAGAAACAGGAGCCACTCAAGCTTACAGAAGCTCACTGCTTAAAGCTTGTAATAAACAAAAATAATATGAGAACCATACAGTGAGCATCTGGGGTTCAACATGGGATATCACTACTCCTGTTTTGTCAGTATGACAACTGAGTCAATTTCTATATTGAAAAAATATTCATGCATACTACCAATTCTCTATTAAAAGCAAATATAGCTCATATAAATATGCCATCATAAGAAACACTGTTTTTACATTGTGTTTTTTGACAACAATTTTGCACTGAATAACAATAAATTATACTGACTGCTGTATAAACTGTTAAAAAAAAAAGTATTACAGATGTTTGTAAAGAGTTCCAGTAATACATAAAAGCACACTGTTAAAATTGGATGAACAATGTATATAGTAAAAAAAGATTTTATAACCAAGCAGTACGAACATTCGGGGGTTTTGGTCTTAGCAAAAAGCCACTGGATGTGTCCAAAACTGATCTATCAGTCTTACAACTAAGGCCACTGGTTGCACTGGATGTCCTGGAAGCTCCTCCTGAAAATACACAGAAATGAAATTATCTCAGTTATTTAAACTGAATACATACACTATCATCTGATAAGCTTCCTAGGTCCAGACTGGTTTTCCATCTTCATCCCAGATATGTCTAATACTCTAATGAAATTATTCTCAACAGAACTGTACTTTAGAATTCTCTGTAGAACTTAAAAGCTGTTAAAATGATTCAAGTCAAAACAAAAACACTTTGTATAATCATTTTTTTGACAAATAGTTTGCTGCATTCAAAGCATAACACTAAATGTCAGTTTCTAGAACAAGACCCTATCTTACTCAGTACAGTAAACAAGCCATGTTTTTACAATGAGCAAGTGAAATTGCCAGTCAATGAAAATTCAAGGCTCACAGGAACACTGGGAAGTTACAGCACTATCAGAGGTTCCAATTTTCTTTAGTGCTGGCTTCAGTTTTTTAAAAAAATATATAATTTAGAATATGTACATGATGTAACAGCATCAACTTCTATAAAGAATCAGCCTTTCTATGTGTTGTATACCCTGGCACTAATGCCATTCCATTCCTATATCTCTAAGGCATACAACTAGTTAGATCTATAACCAATTGCACCCCAAGCATTAAGAAGCATTATATTGCCAGGTGTGGTGGCACATGCCTTTGATCCCAGCACTCAGGAGGCAGAGGCAGGTGGATCTCTGTGAGTTCAAGGTCAGCCTGAACTCTACATAGTGAATTCCAGGACAATGGGGCTACAGAGAGACCCTATCTCAGGAAAAAAAAACAAAAAAAACAAAAAAAACATTATATCTGAGGATTCTACAGTATGTTAATTTTTGTATTTGTTATCTAGTGAGAAAGAAAGAATGCATAAGGGTTAGAAGTTATTAATAATAAGGTTCAGCAACATTACAGAAGCCTATCTCTTCACTCCTTCCTTCAGCAAGCATACTAAAATTTAAAAATTCACTGATTATCTGTGAAAAATCTATTTTCACTTGCTTTATCTTTTGGTTTCCTTCCTATGCTGCCTCTACAGGTTATAAATGAAATCTGAAATTAAGTGAACATAAAAGAAAACATGACAGCAAAAAAATAATAAAATGCATTCCAGAAATTAGCATTGTAAAACTATCATAAGTACATGTTACATTTTTTATTTAAAAAAAGATAAAAGACACAAAAAACAAATATAAAATAGTTTTTTATATTCTTACTTAGTGAGCTGTACTGGCTAAGAGTAGATCTCACTCGTCTAGAAGATGGTGATGGGTTGAGATAGCCCATATTTCGATGATAGTCCATCAGCTGTTCAGAACGTTTCATACCAACTGTTGGTTTCACAGTTTCAAGCCTTTTCAACAAAGCCTTCATTAAAAACATGAAAGTTAGAGAAATACCAATAGTTTTTTAAAGTCAAATACTCTACAACCTCAAATTCATTAAGTACAAATTAAGTCACTCCAGGTATACCATATAAAAGAAGTATAATAAATAATATGCTTTCAGGAAAACCCCAGGAGTTTTTCCCTCCCTGTATTAATCCTACTACTATGATTAATCAACTTCTACAGCCTGGATATAAGGTGCTTGGTCCCTAGCTGGTAACACTTCTGCAAAGTGACTGGGTTCTGATTTCATCCACTGGGTTCTGATTTCATCCACTAATGAATTCAAATCAAAATTATTACCAGAAGGTTTTGGAAACTGCAGGCTTAGTTAGAATAAGTGGGCAGCTATGAGTATGCTTTAAAAGATCTATCTTTTGCTGGAGATATGGCTCAGCAGTTAAGAGTACTGGCTGCTCTTGCAGAGGACCCAAGTTTGGTTCCCAGCACCCACACGGAGGCCAATAACTCCAGTTCCAGGGGATCTGATGCTGTCTCCTGGCCTCCGCAGGCATTGCATGACAGAGGTGTACCTGTACACATATGGCAGGCAAAACACTCATACACATCATATACGTAAGATTTTTAAAACGATCTATCTTGTTCTTAGCCTCTTCCTCTGAGACTCTTCCTCTGTCTCTGCCACGTCTTTCCACCATTTTGTTTCCACCCTTGCCACAAGTCTAAAAGCAATGGAGCAGTGAACCACAAATTGAAACCTGAAGCCAAAATAAATCTATTAAATTATTAGTCTCAGATATTTTTGTCATACCAACAAAAAGGTAAGTAACACAGAACTCACACCAGATATGTATCTTTCATGTTGGGTTATAATCTTCAGAAAGGTACCATAAGTTGAAATAAAGTAACCCTGATTTTCTCATAGAAATGACATGAGTTATAATGCTAACAAGTACAGTGTTAAACCTTTGAAATAACCAAAAATGTATCAAAGCTATGGCAAATTCTACCTATGCACATTAAAGAACCGAGGCCTTTAACCTGCTTTTCTTGCAGTCATGCCACACCTAGAACAATGAGCCAAGCGAGCAGGGGATTTCGGGCCTCACCCACTCAACTTCACCAGCACAACTGTCCTCTATACTTTTGCCTTTATATACTAAGTAGTATTTATTTTGGAAAAAAATAAAAAGGTTTTGGCTGTTAAGAAGCTAGAAAACCAGTTAGTTAAGAATATAAAACCTTTAAAATTATATATAAAGCAACAGGCCAAGTCAGCGCAGTATCCAGTAAGAAGGTATTTTCTTTACTATGACTAAATAAGAATAAACATTCCTCATTTTATTTCCAATTCCTTTTCAAAAAGATTTTTTTATGTGCATTTGTGTGTGCCTGAAGCTATGTATGTGCCCCACATATGCCAAAGTGCTTGCAATGGCCAGAAGAAAGTGTCTGATCCCCTGGAACTGAAGTTACAGGCAGTTGTTAGCTGCCCTATGTGGGTGCTGGGAGCTGAACCCAGGTCCTCTACAAGAACTGCAAATGGTCTTAACTGTTGAGCCATCTCTCTAGCCCTTCTAATTCTTTTTAAACTCAAAACCTGAAAGTTTTTTCTGATTTTCACTGGCATCACTGAGAAAGGAATATTTAGGTAGACCAAATGACTTTGGAGATTTATGGTTCTGTTTTATTACTTTCTTTAAGGATAAAACTTTTCTGATGCAATATTTTATCTTATGAGTTTGCTGATACACACCAAGATTCACATTTTAAAAAAATCAGCCTCATGAATACAGTCATAAGACAAATATCCTTTACGTAATATTTTTATTGTGCTAAGCACATAAAACATCAATTTAAGCAGTTAAATAACAGCAGCTAGATTCACTGTTGTGATCAGTAACAACCATTTTCAAAACATTTTCTCAAGTAGTGTTTTGCTCTTATCAGTTTCCCCTGCTGCCCTTTCATTCTGAGGTTCTAGTCCCAGCATTATCAGTATTTCTGAGTAATTTCAAAGAAGGGGTAATTGGTGGTAAGGGTAAGCCAAAATATTCAGGGAAAGAGCTGTTTAGAAAAGAAGTAAGTATTGCCAAAAGAAACCCAAGCTTAGCCACAGTAGTTAAGGTGCAAAACACAAGAAGTAGACAAGATAGACCAATCAGGAGAGCTCCATCACTCTCAGCCAGTAGAGAGAAGACCCTCTCAGTTTTTATTCCTCAAAAGTCAGAAAAGTAGCAACTCCTTAGCGAAGTCCTACCCACCTACAATTAGTGGCACTCTTGGTTGAACTGAGAGTCAGGATTTGATATTGCTCCACTTGATTGTAAAGTCTGTAATTTTTCTAACATAATTCACTATATTCTTTGTAGATGGAGGAGCTGTACAATATAGATGTCAACTTTTTCTAAAATGATGATCTTCCCTACCTGTAATTGCATAAAAGATTTCTATGTATCACACTTTTACTGTATTTTACTGAACAGAACTGTATGGAACAGAAATCTTCACAATTTCACTTAATATGCATATATATGCACAAAGTCCCGAGTTTGATTTCCAGCACTACATAAAACCAGGCATGGTGGAGTATACCTATAATCCTAGTACTTGGGAGGTGGAAGCAGAAGGATCAAATGTTCAAGATCATCCTTGGCTAGGTAGAGAGTATGAGACTAGCCTGAGATTCATTAAACCATGTCTCAAAAAAAAAGAAACCAATAATGTTTATTAAACTCCTGATTTCCTACATTTTTCCTACATTTATTTGTTTGGCTGGGTGAACACATTTCTCTTTTTTTTTTTTTTTTTTTGTTTTTTTTTTTTTTGGTTTTTTTTGAGACAGAGTCTTCCTGTAGCCCCAGCTGGCCTGGAATTCTCTATGTAGATCAGGCTGGCCTTGAACTCACAGAGATCCGCCTGCCTCTGGGATTAAAGGCACGTGCCACCGCACCCGACCACATTTTTTTAAATGTTAAGAAAACTTCAATGTTTATCCATCAGATGTGAATATTAAACTTGAAACAATTTTCAGATAAAGCCAAGAAAAGCCCTGCAGACTGAGGCCAGTCTGGTCTACATGGCAAGTTCCAGGGTAACTGGGTAACTGGGGCTTCAAGGAGACCTTGTCTAAACTGTGGCCCCAACCAAAAAAAAAAAAAAAAAAAAAACAAAACAAAAGCTTTCATAGAGGAAATTCTAAGTAGAAAAATTATGTCTGTTATCTATTTACCTATATTTCTCTGCACAGTATATGTGTGTGTGTGTGCAATCTTAAAAAGGAAAACGAAACAAAACCAGATTAAATTAAGTCCACTCAAGCTAATCTCTTGTACACTCTACTCACTGAGTATTTGCAGGAATCCCACTTCATCCCTGTCATAGCTTCAGTTGTCAACTTGCCACACCTGGGAAGAAGGAACCTTACTTGAGGAACTTTGTCCATCAGACTGACCTATGGGCATGTCTGTGGGGCATTTTTTGATTGCTAATAGATGTAGGGAGGCCCAGCCCACTGTGGATGGTGCCATCCCTGGGCAGGTGGGCCTTGGCTGTACAAGCAAGTCAGTATGCAGCATTCCTCCAGGGTCTCTGCTTCAGTTCCTGCTTCCAGGTTCCTGCCCTGAGCTCCCACCCTGGCTCTCCTGGATGATGGACTATAATCTGCAAGCCAAATGAACCCTTTGCTTTCCCCAAGTTGGTTTTGGTTACTGTTTTATGACAGCAACAAAAATCAAACTAGAACTCCTAACACTGTTTACTCTGCCCCACCCTTCTTTTTACCTGACATACAATTAAGAAAATGAAATAATCTCACTAGACTACAAAGTGAAACCGTACACCAAAATGTCCTTACTGAACCAGCATTCCTGCTAAGTCTATTACTGTGCTCTCTCAGGGGAAAAAAAAAAGACTATACATCAAGTTCAAAAGAAGGCAAGGAGATATACTTTAACAAGAACATTTCAAAATTCATGACTTAAAAACTTGGTCATTTTTTTGGAAATAGTTTTACTATAACTGAGTCAATATGGAGCAAGCCCTCCCTCTACTGTATTATTCACATGCCCTTTCCTTTCCTTTCTCCCATCTCTTTCCACACACCTCCTTTCCAGTCAGTACTGTTACTAGGGACAGAACCAGCAACAACATCTTAGCATCTCCTTTATACTCCCTTAATATTTATCTGGTTATAATACCTAATAGGAGGAATGTTCATATCTGCCAGTTGATATCTGAGGCTCTGGAAACTTAGTAGGACATACTAACAGTATCCTTTAAACTCTAGGATTCCATTTTATACAATTTTTGCCCTTCTTCTCTCCCTTCTCTACCATACTTTACTGTGATTATGAATTGCCAAAATTCTAATCTAGGTATTTGAAAATACATGGAGTTTTTTAGTATTACTTTTATTTTATGTGTATGAGTGTATTGCCTACATGTAGATTGATGCACCTGTCATGCAATGCCCACGAAGGTCAGAAGAGGGTGTCAGATCCCCTGAAAATGGAGTTACAGATCATTGCTAGCCACCATGTGGGTGCTGGGAATTAAACCCCGGTCCTCTGCAAGAGCTGCCAGTACTCTTAACCACTGGGCCATCTCTCCAGCCCCAAGAACATAATGTTTTAATAATCAAGCCTGATTTAATAATCCATCTGATTTTTTATAATTTTTAATAATCCACCTGATTTTTCTGTGACTAGTGATGAGACGAAGGATACAAATAATAAAGTGATGGAGTCGGAGAGTGGGTCCCGACCTCCATCAGTGTAGTGGCTTGGATCTCAGCAGGCTGCTAGAGAGTGCCAAGTTCTGGCATCCCTCTGGCCTCCCTCTAGCAGAGGGCCTGAGAACCCCCGATCCTGCGTCCACTTGGTGGTAAGCTTCCCCTAACTGCACCATACTCACATCATCTGGGATTTTGTGAGGCCCCTCCCAAGGCCCCAGGGCAGATCTGGCTTTGGTAGGCTAAGGCTGAGATCACTGCAGACAGCCTGAGAGGGTGGGTTTGGA